ATATATAAATATATATATATATTCAGGTGAACACAGCATAAAAAGTGTCTCTTGCTGGGAAGAGGTGGTGGGAGAGGACCTGTGAGAGTCCTGGCGTGATGCTGGGGCTGTGTGCTGGACAGCTCTGTGTCCTCCTTAAAGCAGCTTTCTCATGACAGGCTGGTCCTCTGTGGTGCCGGGGGCAAAGGGTTTCAGGCTGCTCCTCTGTGTTGCAGGAGCAGAAGTGTTGCTGTGGTGCTTGGTGGACACCAAGAAAGAGTTTTTTGGGGTGTGGTTTGTGCCCTGGGTCTGAGTCTCTGTGTATCTCGTTTTTTCTGGTGACTAGAGGAATAACGAAGTGTGTTGTTTTTCCATATGCACTCTAATCTCAAAGCATTCTTCTTACCACTTCTACCAGCCCAAATCTTCAATGCAAAATAAGCTTTACAAACAGGAAGTGCAAATTCAGTTTCAGCTCTGTGAAAGAATAACTCAGTTGACACAATATACATGTTTTTGTGGAGATACTTTTTGTTTATTATGTTGTGGGGCTTGTGTAAAGTAGAATTAACTGTAAAGCACTTTGTTGTTATGCAACTGTCTTGCATCCATTTTGGGTGCTCCTGAGCTGGTTGGATTGGCTTTTCTTGAAAGCAAAAACTGCACAACTTCAAAACTGAAGATGCATGAGGTCAGCTTAAAGTACCCGTTCCTCTGTGCAAGAGGAATTAAGGAAGTCACAATGAACACTTGCATTTTAGTCACCATTTTGCTTCTGTTCAAGATCCTGTAGAGCAAAGAAGAATTCTAATGTGCTTTTTCATATCATGTTGTGTCTTCTCCACTTCTAGGCCTGCCAGTTGTACAACAAAAAAGGTGGTATCTGCACACAGCAAGACAACTGCAATAAGCTTCATGTTTGTCGACACTTTCTCCGGTGGGAATGTAAATTTCTTCATTGCAAGAGGTCTCATAACCTCTTGGATAGCCATGAATTGAAAGTGTTGGAAACTGGAGGCATTGATGGGAAGATAGCTTCAAACATCCAGATGATATATAATTACAAGCATGCACAATTCAACATGGAACTGAATAAGGGGAACGGTAAGCTGTGAGAAATACTGGGTTTAAATGGGATTTTGAGTTTGATAGAGGTAGAAACCATTCTTGCCTTACCTTTTGGCTAAACCTCATTGTCCTTTCAATACTTTCAGTATACAACTATAAACCAAGAAACTATTATACAAAACCAGTGGTTACGGTTCCAAGGAATAAAGAACTGAAGGCGTCTTTGCAAGTAATGGACTCAATGCTGCATGTGCCACCTTCGGAGGGTAAATATCTAGATATCAGTAACAACTGTTTACATGTGGAATCAGCTTTTGTATTTCCCCTCTTACAACATGTACATTTTTGCCTTCTGCCATTGATCTGCTTTCAGAAGTGGAGTAAGGCATGGCTGAATCATGTAGGAGGGAGAACTGCATTACTATTGCCTGAAATACTGCATGTGAAATAGCTGTGGTGTGGCTGGTGATAACTGTAACTAGCTAGGGTTTGTAACTGTTACTGCTCATCTGTTGTGTCAGCCGTGGGGTGCTGGAAGAATATTATATGGGTGATGGACATCATTCTCCACACAGATTGGGATATTGCCAGCTAGCTGAGGTTCTGGCCCAGCGGTGCTGCTCATTCAGTCTTCTCATGCAGGTTCTGGTAGCACCCAGTCTGGTCAGGGCCAACACCAGTTGCCATCAGGAGCAGAAGATAAAGAAGGTATGGATTGTTTCTAACCCTCTAGTCTTGAGCTGCATGGTTCTCATTGGGATTTGATTCCACACAGCCCTACAGCTGTAGTCAGAGTGCAGCTTATGTGCTTTACCTTACTGTCCACTGAAAGCCATAGTACCAGTCAGCCAGCAGAGCAGGGTTGGGATTTCTGCCCAAGCATTGTACAGCATAGTGAGCAGTAGCCTGGGACTGATCTCTGTACTCGGGCACATTTCTTCCTGGGAAGGAGAGGTAGTTGTATCTGTGCATGCAGTATCTTTCCTTGCCTTCCGCCCATAGGGAATGAATTTAGCTTTGTCAGTAGAGCAGTTGTCTTAATATACCTTCCCATGAGTGAATAGCAGCTTCTAAATCTCCTGTCCTCCTGGAGACAACGGCCTTGACTTTAAAGCCTGTCAGAGTCTAGTACTCTCTGAACAGGTTCTTTTAGACATTCCACACATGGGTGGTGTATTGTTCAATATCAAATCATATGTGTGATGGATGTCATTCTCCACACAGACTGGGATATTGCCCAGCTAGCTGAGATTCTAGCCCAGCAGTGCTGCTCATTCAATTTTCTCATGCAGGTTCTGCTAGCACTCCATCTGATCAGAGCCAACACCAGTTGCCAACAGGAGCAGGAGGTAACGATGAAGGTATGGATTGTTTCTAACCCTCTGGTCTTGAGATCAGCTAATTTGAAGGTAGTTGATTTTACACAGGTGTCATGGACTAACCTTGGTGGGCACCACACAGCCACTCACTTGCTTCCCCTCAACACCCAGGGGGATGAGGAAGAGAAAAGAAAGAATAAAAGCAAGAAAACTTGAGGGTCAGGATGAGGGAGGAAAAAATATCAGAAGTGTAAGTGAAAGAAGAAAAGAAAGTAAAGCAAAAGAAGTAGTGCAAAGACAGTCACTCACCACCTCTGACACACAGGCTGATGCCTAGCCAGTTCTCAAGCAAAAGATAGCTAACCCTCTTAAAACACCCTCTTCTCCCTTTTATTGCTGAGCATTATGTTATATGGTTTGGAATATTCAGTGAGTTTGGGTCCTCTGCCCAGTTGTGTCTCCTCCCAAGCTACTGTGCACCCCCAAATCTATTCACTTTGGGGGTAGGGTGAGACACAGAGAAGGCCTTGATGCTGTATGTGTTCAGCAAAGGTCGGGGCATCAGTGTGTGATCAGCATTGTTTTGGTCAAAAGTCTAAAACACAGCATCATATGAGCTGCTCTGAAGAAAATTAACTCTTCTCTTAGTCAGGCCCAGTACAGTGACATTTCTGATGTAGCAAGAGCGATGCAAAATCCGCTGGAAACAAAGTACAAATGTTTACTTACCAAAACTTAGCACTTGCAATGCACAGTTCCATCACAGTGCTAATATGATTCCCACTGCAGGTCTGTGCAAGATGCTCATTGTGTCTATGCTGGGAAAGGTTGAAGCTAGCTCAAGCACATTACTCTCTTCAAATTCTTTCATGGGTTGTTTAGGTTTAATGCCGCTGAATGGGGCTGAGCTCTGTGTTTGCTCCCCTCATGCTGGTGTCAGGGGAGAAGAAACATTTCTGTCCCCAGCTGATCCACTCGGCTGACATTGCCATTTATCCACCCTCTGGTTCCCTCAGTGTGGGGACAAAGTCAGCTTCTTTGCAAGAGTCATAGTCATACCCTGTGTTCCTCTGAGCTTCCTGACATTGCCCTTCTCCACTGAAACTTCTTCCAGTGTTGGGGGTTATTGGTCGGTCACAAAGCCCTGACTCACATGCTGGGCTGTATGGGGGATAGTCAGATCCTGAAAGTGCTTGACTTGGCTACTGCAGTCAAATCCTTGTTATTTCTAGGGTGAAGTACCAAATGCTTTCTCTTAGGGTAAATACGGACTGATGTGTTCTTTTCTG